CACTGTTGCTCAGAGCTCGCACTCTTGAGTGAGCTCTTAACCAACTGAGCCACTCGGCTGGCCCTCTTTCCTGAGATTTTTGTAGCTACTGTTTTACCTTCATGTGGGTTTGAGTTTCTACCAAATATTTAAGGAGAAGTAAGCCGAGCCTTATACATAAATCTTTAACTTATATAATGTGCCTTATAATAACCCAGTCATATAATTCCCAATACTAGGAAGGAAAATCATAGACTGATCTCACATAAATATACACTCCAAATCTTCAATAAAGTCTTGGCAAGCCAGGCAGTTGTCCTGACATTGCATACTCCATATTTTTCAATTGGTTTGAAGTGCCACATTTATTATAAAATGAATCCCCACATACTGTAGGCCCATTTTGGTGGGAGAGGGTATATTTGTGTTCTTCATCTGTCATCTTGAATCGAAACTAACTGTTAAACCTTGCATTCAGGATGTTTGCATTGGCATTTTAATATATGCTTTACATAAATACCTTTCTATTGCATATTTTCACAAGTCATTTGAAGGTGATGTCAGGGTCAGAACTCAATATATATACCTCATTTGAGACATTTCATTCTAAAGAATATTTCATAGTTCAAACAAATGTAAGTTGAAAAATAGATATGAAATAAATATATTGTCTAAATATTTCCCATAAAAAATGTTTTCCTCCCATGCCCTCACATATGTGTTTTTTTTATAGAGGTATATATCTTTTTTTTTTATTATGTTTTTGTTGTAGTAGTGGAGGGGGGCAACAGTGTTGGGGAATTGGGGAAGGGAAACAGCCAAGTTGTTGTCCTTCAGTCTTTATTGTGGAGGGAGCCACTCGCCATATGGCTTCCCGTCAGCAGCTCATGGCCTCTGAGCACAAGGGTGCTGTGTTCAATCTTAGTTGCGGATGGGCATAGCCACCATCCCATGCAGGAGTTGAACCAGCAGCCTTGTTAAGAGTGCTTTCTCTATCCACTGAGGCATCAGGGTGCAGCTCATCTCATGGTGCCGAGTTCAGTCTTAGTTGTCGGTGGGCGTAGACCACCATCGAACAGGCAATCTTGCTGTTACACCAGCTGAGACATCCTGCCACCTGTTGGCAGCTCAGTGACAGCTCAGCTCGGGCACAGCGTCACTGGCCCATGTGGGAATTGAACCGGCGGCCCTGTTGCTCAGAGCTTGCGTGCTTAAGCCAACTCTTAACTAACTGAGCCACTCGGCCGGCTCCACATATATGTTTATTAACATATGTTAATTGATTGTGCCTTGCTTCCTTCCCAAAGGAATTTGAGATGGCTTTAACAAGGGACAGAAATAAACGGTGCCAGACATCTGGGATGGATTAATTATTGTGTTCAAACACCAAACTTAATTTTGTGTTTTGTGGAAAAGAGTGGAAAGGGTCACGTTATGTTCTGTATGTTAAAGGGACCATGTAACTTACACATGCATTTTTCCCTTCTTTTAGAAATGGGACATTGGACAAGATGATGGTTACTTTCAACTTCGATTTGTAAAAGTTAGAAAATGTCCTTCAACTGTATCAACCAGCTATGAAAGCTAAGATTTTAAATTGAGTCTTAACTTAGGGAATCTTACCTTCTTTGGTGAGTTAAGATAAATGGTTTACTTTTGCTTTCAGAAAATGCCAAGGATTTACTGGTAAATGTGAAGTGACTTGCAGAGTAGGAAAACCATCATTTGCAATGATTATATAATAAAGATTGAGTCAGATTAGGATCATCAGTGGATATAAAATCTGGGGGGAAATTTGATGAGGAACTGGATATTTTTGCGTGCTTTTTAATGTGTTACCCTACAGACTGCTTATTAGTTGCAAGGGAGAAAATACACTGTATTTATACAGTAGAGAAATTGGACAGTACCTTGACCAGGCGATCAAAGTTAAGGTCACCATTGAAGGACATAGAAGTCATGTGTCTCCAGATGTCATGCCCTGAGAAGGACACATGACCACCTATGTACTGGCTGATAATGTATAACCTCAATCTAATCATTAGGAAATGTCAGACAAACCTTAAATGAGGGATGTTCAATTTAAAGGGGGGGAGGGGAGCTAGTCTTCCAAGATATTATTATCATAAAAGACAGTGAAAGGCTTTGGAAACTTTCTAGAATGTAGGAGGCTAAAGAGACAGGTTAACTAAATGTATTACTTGATTCTAAATTGGATCCAGTGTTGTAGAGGGAAATATGCTATAAAGGACATTGCTGGGTTAACTGACAAAATTGGAGTACTTATGTTAGATTTGATAAAAATATCATTGTTAAATTTGCTGACATTAATAACTGTTGTAATTATGTAAGACAGTATGCCTATTTATAGGAAATATACTCTGAAGTATTTAGGGGTAAAGGGCCATGATGTCTGTAATTTGTCCTCAAAAGCTTCAGGAAAAAAAAAAAGATGCATGTGTGAGTGGAAAGAGACAACACAAATGATTGCAAATGGTAAAGCAAATGGGGTAAAATGTTAATAGTAGATAAATGTAGGTAAAAGTACACAGGTGTTCTTTGCAAGTATTTTTACTTTCATAATTTACATGTAAATTTGAAATTATTTTCAAATAAAGAGTTAAGACAAAATATATGATTTAGTTATGATGCATTCTAATGAGGTAACAAAGTGATAGAGCTTAGAGAATTTGTTCTGGAAGACTGAATAGTTAACATGCCCATTCGACATTTTCTCTCAAATAACAGATGTCTCAAGTGAGCTTTGGTAAGTACTGGATCAAATCAATTCATGGTTGAATTATCCAGTGAGTGCCTTAAGTGCCAATGTTTTCTGTTGTTGATTGAAGAGGGACCCATATGTTTTAGATCCCAAATGTGGACAAATAGCATTGATGTTCTGTTATGAAAATGTAAAAGCCTGATTTGTTTTGTGCTAGTTCACTTACTCATGAAGATGGGTCAAAGAGCTACTTACAGGAAGTTGCTGATATTTTTTCAGGGAGAATGTGAAACTGTAGAAACAGTTGGACAGGTGATCATGTATGATTTCAGTGCTCGGAAGTATAGTTAGAAAAAAGGATTTGGCCAACAAAATTTTTAGGTATATGGTAGCGGCTAACTGCTCACCATTGTAATGGATTTGAATTTTTATTCTCTTTAGAAAATGTAATTTTGAACAGAATTACATGCTGATGACTAGTCCAGGATAAATTAGCTACAAAATCCACCCCAAATAACTGATTCTCCCTTCCAGTTAAGAAACAAGTTGGATTGATAAAAGCACTTAGAACATTGTGAAACAGTTAAAACTGCTTTGAAAGAGAAGAAAGTATCAAGTGCTATTAGTAAATACCTAGGTGGGCATTTTTAATCCAAGATACCTTTAAAAATTGAGTATGACAGGCACCCCCTCTCCCAACGTTAAAGGCCTACAGTTGCAAGAGAAATTCATAAAAGCACAACAAGGCTTTAAATTGCATTGGCATTACCTTGAAAGTCCACAAGATGCTCCTTTTTTGTTTGTGTCTAAATTACTATGAAAGAATTGTCACAGCCAGTGGTATATTGGAGCATCTCCTCCTGGCCTGAGAGATGATTGTTAAAATTTTAGGAATTTTGCAAACTGTTAAACAGTTGTTATTAAATTAGATAAATGACATTTATAAAAAGGTAATAAATGCTTAAAATTCATCACCTCCTGGTTATTTTACTACATGTTACTATGATCTATGCTCCTGAAGTTATTTTTTATATATTATTCCTTTATGATTGAAATACTGTATCATGATGTGCTAGTGTAAATATATTTTCTCATCTCCATGTTCAGTGACATCACACTGGTAGCTTGAAATTAACCATGGTGGGAATATTTACACTGCAGAGTTTGGCAAATGCCATAAATCAGGGCTTGATTTATTGTTTATTGCTTGTCTAGACTTCAGGTGACGGAGAAATGCTAATAATGCAAACTTAAAAGTGGCATGCCTTTAGCTATTACTTTGTGTATATCAAGAAATTGAGGATATATTCTTTCCCTCAAAAATGATTAACCACTTCAGCAAAGAAGTCACATTGTTTACCTCATTGGCATAAACAAAAGTATCAACCAGTACTCCAAACTACACTTGGAAAGTTGCTAAACATTTACCAGCAGGCTACTACTGGTCATGGCATAATTGAATTCAGTGTGTTGGTAGGAAATAGATAATAGTATAAATTTATACTGTTATTCAGCTTTAGGAAATTATATAACAATATGTGGACATTAAGAAAAAAAGAAAGATTGAGTTTTAAAAGTCGTTAGCTATAGCACATAATTTCAAATTTGAAGCCTTTGATATAGGTTTACTGTAGATGAGATGTAGAATCATAGAATTTTGAGTTTGAGGAATGCTTAAAATTTATCCAGACCAAGCTGCCTTACAGATAGAAATTCTTGCTTTGGTGTATCAGTCAGTTATCCAGAATGTATTTAAATTATTCTAGAGACAGTTTATTACCTGAAAATAACATTAGGGAACTCTAGAAGTAGAATTCTTTTTTATGTTGAACTAAACTTTGTTTTCCTTTAATTTCTACCAACTGGTTCTGGTACCGACTTCTGGAGAAATATAGAAGCATAGAAACAGAAGAGAAAATTTGTTTTTGCTGTAGAGCAATCTTTCAGGTATAAAAGTATCTGGGATGTTTCTATTTAGACCTCTTTGGGCAAGAAGTACACCTTTAGTTCCTTTAACCATACACGTGTGGTGTATTTTGTAGACTCTGTAATTTAAGACTGTGTTGCCATTCTAAACATCAACATCACTATCTTTTGGCTCTTATTGACTTTGTAAATGAGGTATATAAGCCTTTAGATTTTTTTGTATGCAAATTGTACACAAGTCAAGTCTTCTGTGTTTGATTCTTTTTAACCCAGGTCTTTGTATTTACTCATTCTTACGTCTTCATATTGCTTTCAGCACAGAATTCCAGATTGTAGAAATGATATTAAATTGAAATTTTATCATTTTTGAGATTTATTAATCCTATCGATTTTGTGTTGCAGATTTGATAAGCACTCAATATCTATTTACATCCAAATTAATTAAAATGTTCAATTTCAAAGGGCTATGGGGACAGAGGTCTCCTTTAAACAACCCTCTCTAAATTTATTTCCACCCATCATCATTACTTTTTGTTGTGAGTCTACCTACCAGCTCTGCTGAGTAGCTCACATTTTACCATCTTATATACAGAAATTCATCATAATGTATTTTGACAGAGGCTTTGCTGAGCTCAAGATATACTATGTCTATGGCATGCCCTCCAATGAAATATACTTTAGTACTTCTGTCCTGAAAAGTAGGCATATTGAAAATCCTGGAATGGCCAAATGTTAAAGTCATATTCTTACACAAATGGAAAGGTAAAAAGAAAATCCACGAAGAATAATGGGCTAGATAATAAGTCAGACTCAAAAGAGAAGAGGGACAAGATCACTGAGGACACTTGATAATCAGAGCCATGGTATATATTCTACCCGGACTGAAAAGAAGATAGCCTGAAGAAGCAGAGCTGCTTCACTGAGGAAGCATTCTGGAGCAGGTGAAATTTTAGGGACCTGGAATAGAGTGGACAGGGTTTGTTAGCCTTTCTCTTCCTCTTACTATCTCTGTCCTTTGAAATGTATGTGGTGAAATACAACGGGTGCTTCTGAGTGTGTATGGCTGTTTCTTTGCTATGTATAGCACCTCCTTATTCTCTTTGCTCTGGACCAACTACTATCTACTTCACTTATTTTGAAGACTAACTCAGGATGAAATTGTCTAGTACCCTTTCTTCTATTTTGTAGATAGTAGATAGAAGTTGGTTTAACCTTTGTTAAATTTTTTCTCCTTTTTAAATTCCATTCAGCAACCATGGTGGAGGTTGTCAGGAAGTTACTAGTGTGAGTTGTCTCATCACATTCCTTGGCCTCCACCCTCCTTCATCCTACCCAGGCTGCTGGAAGGAAGAAACATTTATAGTAGGTCACTTGATTAAATAGTATTAATAGAATAATGGCTTTCTCCCTCCCACTATTTCTTTCCTAAAAATCGTAATTCAAAAGCAGCATCTTCTAGAAAGCAGTCCCTGATTAGTCGTCTCATTTTCTAGCTCACATTCAAGTTATTCCCATGAAAGATACTCTTAAAAACCACATTTCTGTACATATGTTTCTATTGAGCAAATGTGTTTTAGGGGTCCTCTTTGAGTACACTCTTCTATGTAAATTCTGAGCGCCTAGAATATGGAGATGGTTGTGTTTGACGAGTACTTGATAGCTGAGAATCACTGTTCTAATCTGTTTTAATTTAACCTAAGACCAGGCTACTTGTTCAAAAAGTAGAGAGGACTTGGGAGGTAGAGGTAAAGGGTTTTGGAAATATGAAGAAAGAGTATATATGGGTAAAATTCATGAGCTCATGAATTATTTTGGAATTTACTTTCATTAGTTACTTACCTGATTGCATTAATTATTTTATGGCAGGTTTTCTTCCTTTTTACTTGAGGGTTTCTATAGGATAGATTAGTAGGACCTCTACTTACTCTTTTAAAATCTCTTGGTTCAATACATTGTAATTAGTTTCTGGTAATTAAATCATTCTCTTTTTCTTGCAGATTGAGGTGGTGCCATGCAGCAAGAAGCAGCAAGATGCAGAGTTCGTATCAGAAGGCCTGACATGGCCCTTTATGTCCCTAAAGCTCGGAGGGGTGTAGGACTTCTCAAGACAGGTGATGAGGAAAAAAGCTATGGTCCACCTAACTGCGTGGTGAAAGAACAGCAAAAAGAAGATTGTCTCCCCCAAAAGGACAAACCTGAGGCTCAAAGACTAAATATTAATCCTGATAAAAAGGAGCACAATCGTAGGGAAGGAAAGAAATCTTCAACAAAATTAAGAAAAGACACGTGCCTTCAAGAAAGTAATAAAGATCGGGTGTATACCAAGATAGGAGCCACAGAAACCAAAGAAGTAATATCCCAAGGACATCAGCAAGGAGGCCTAAATCCTGAGATTATCCCTAGTGTACCTTTACAAAGGCATTTTAAACCAAATAAGGTGGAGTGTTTGGAGGTTGAAACCTCAGATGTGACAAGACATGAGATGTTGCTTCGATCTCAGTCTTGTTCAGAAATCAGTGAGGCTCAGGTTCTAAACAAACCATTCCAACATGTGGACTTCTGTGATTTAAGTAGGCACGAACTAAGTGGGGACACACTTGAAGACAAATATTTGGAAAGCAGAGTTGAAACTGATGCCAAGGTTGTAGAGAGACGATCCCAGCTTCCTGGAGTTTTTAGTTCTGTTTTGAAACCTGAGGGTGTGATTTCACCAGTAAAACTAAGCTCTGATTCTGGAATCGTACAACAAGGCATGCAGACGTCAGGTGGAATGTTGGCGCTCAGCAGTGGAGGCATCACGACTATTCCTGTTCCTGGAAGCCCAGGTGGCGTCACTGATCAAACTTGTGTAGACTTTGAAACTGAGAATGTTGGTGATACACCCAGCAGTACAGATTTCATCTTGGGTCAGAAAGGTATAGATTCCATTCCTGAGATGATGGGTCACATCTCTCATAAAATGACCATAGTCAACACATTAGAGAGCACAAATGGCATTTTTGATCCAACAATGATTAAAGAATTTGAGAGTGACAGCACTGCTGATGAGTTATGTGTAAAGTATGAACCTTCTGATACAGCTGTTCTTGTTCATGAAACAGATACAGGTAATGGGCCTAAGAGTATAGGTGACATTACAAATAAGGCATGTATGATGGACATTACAGATACTGTGTCTGATCAAATAACTGTAGGCAGCCCTTGTGTAGTTGCAGTTAGAATAGCTGATGAGGCTTGTAGCAATACAAGTAGTTTCTCAAAATATTTAGAAATGAGTGCAGATACAGCCCCTCTTCACACTGCTAGAAGTAGAAATGACACTGAAAATTTCAGCAACCCAACTGCTTGCTCAGATAGTTATGCTGAAAATATTACATCTAGTTTCGTGGAGTCAACAGGAAAGTTGATAGAGAGCTTGTCAGATTGTGTTTCCTCCTCACCTATGAAGAAGATTGCTGGTAGTAATTGTAACACTTTTTTGGACTCTGAACTCAGTATGTCAAATGGGACCAAAGTACTTCCGGATAGTGCCTTGGCCATTGATCTCGATTGTACTGGTGATATCACAGAGGCACTGCATGAACTGAAAACTGCCGACGAGTTCAAAACAAAAGAGGAAGATGACTCAGAGAATATAGAATTTGGTATATCGTTTCCTGATATAGAATCAGTATCTATGGAGACATCCATGGAACCGCAAGCAACTGAAACTTCTCACCTGGAGGGAAGTGCTCCTGAGGAGAGCTGGGAGTCCATGTTTAATGATGACGGTGACTGCCTGGATCCACGTCTTCTACAGGAGGTATGTTTAATGGAAACTGCTTGATGCTTAGACAATTTATAGATTTATAGAACCTGGGATGTGAGGGGGTAATTTTGTTAGGCATTTGTGTACATTCATTCATATTACATCCAATGTAAGGGCTCCTACAATAACTAATAGGATTGTAGATTGAGAAAAGAATATCTGGTAGATGTTTAAAAAATAAAACTATACAGAATTGAGCTGTATCTATAACAGCCATGTCCTGAGAGATCTTAATTGAATAGATTAAAGATGAATTTAATGGATTCTGGCTATCTGTTGAGGAAGTAAAGAGGGAAAGAAACTTCTTCAAAAGGGCTTTTCTGTATTGACAAGATATATTTTACATAGGCCTGTTTGAGGAAAGGAGAAGAATTTATTATTGTTCATACTTATTTTCCCAGTAGATATTCAAATGTCATTAGATACTGTAGAGTGAAAGAAGGGTAAAATAAAGGAAGACATGATTGTTTTTTAAGGAGTTTATGCTGAGTTAAATTAAAAAACAAATAATTGTTGAGTCTATATAGAACATATAAGTGGATAATGACATGCTGGCTAGTTCATGAATACAGAATGTTAGACTTTTGAAGGCATCTTAGAAATTATTTAGTTCAATCTTTTCATTTTCTTAATTTGACATTCACTCTATCCAACATTTAAATTCCTTACCATAAATAAGAATCATTGGTTTTAAATAGTAGAACCACTTCCCCTTTCATTCCTTATAATGTGTTCACATAACCTTTGCCTGGAAGGGAAAAAAAATGATTTTCCTATAAAATCGCCAGTTTTATAAATGAGGAAATTGAAGCTTACTGGTCATACCTTTAGGAAAGGCAGAATCAGGATAATAGTTGAATTCTGTATTAATCCAGTGTTTATGTTCTTTCTATCAGACTACTTCCTCACCTATAAAATAGTTTTGTTTGAGTGATTCCAAAGAGCCTTTTAAGTACTAAATGATGAGTCTTTGGTTTCTGAGAATTAAAGCAGCAGTACAGGAAAATGATCACATGCATTTGAAAGGGACGCAGACTGAAGAGGGCAGCCCATTGGGTAGAACTGCCTTTCCAGCACCAAGCAGTTCCCCTCACACGTAGGTGTTTGCATGCACACCTGTACCCCAGTTAACGCTTCTTATGGTCACATCAGGAAACACTGTGGCCTAACCATTCCTTAGAAAGAAATACAGAGCAGATAGTATCTGTAAATGGGTATCCCTGAATCCCTTGAAATTGCATGAAAAATTTTCTATCTATGTGCAGTTTTTCATAGCTTTCATCAGATTCTGAAAGGCGATGTATGGTGTGTCTATTTACAAGTATATTTACAAGTTTTTCAAGTGATGCTGATACACATAAAGTGAGAACCACTGCTCAAAGGTAATACACAAACTTAAATGTATATCAGAAATTGAGTGTGGTAACTAGAAATGGCTGTCAGCCCATAACTAGAAAGAAAAACACTGTTCAGCAGAGGTTTTAGACTCAAATTGGGTTAAGAAATTAATAATGGGGGAAGTTAGGTGAATGTAGAAAAGTTATTAAGGATCCAAGCATTGGAAGAAGGCCTTCACTTGAGAAAGGAAGCAGTGTTCATAGGAGCTGGCCAAGGGACTACCTGAGGGAGTAGCAAGCACAAGTATGCACAGGAGAGAAAGAACAGCTTCCTGCAAAAGAAGGGCGTGGCACACAGCTTTTTATGTGTGGTAGGACTCAATAAATATTAATTGAATGGATGTAGGCAATAGGGCAGAGTTGAGGCTCTCTTCCTTTTTAGGGTGGTTTCCAGGCACTTTCAAAACATCATTGCAGCTGGAACTTGGATTCTGTGTAGTAGATTTGGCTTCTATATTGAGGAGGCAGGGGATTCAGGTGGGCAACCCTTTTTCAGGTCTTAACACTGTTTAGAATTGGTGCAGAAGAACTTGGGCAACTACTCAGTATGTTGAGGAGCATAGTACTATAGCCAAAGAGGACACTAGCATGACCAAAAGCTGGGAATGGTAGGAAAAGGGAGTACGCAGTGTTTTAAGCGACACACAGCTGGTGCTGGGGTGTTGTGTTTTGACATCTTGGGTGCTTGGTAGAGAGTGGATCTATGTTGAGGAATGAGGATGGATGAGAGCAAGAGAGGAGGTGGGTTGAGAATGCCATAGTGGATCCGACTTTAAACTTTGGTCTCCTGTGCTTTGGGTTTTAGAAGATGTAATAATAATCATGTTATTAAAAGATGTCACAAATCCAATAACATTAATAGTCCTTTGGTGACTATTACTCTTAATTTATTATTTATATTGCTCCAAACATACTTTATTAAAGGCTAAACCAGAGTGTTTGCCTACCTTGAAAACTTGCCAAAGACAAAGATTTTTGGCTCTCTTCCCAGCTGGCCTGTTTCTTTGTTGACAGTGGCTAGACATATGGACGTATGTCTAATACTTCTAATAGGCAGAGAGGTATGCTGTAGAGCAGGGTGTGGCAGCCATTGGCATGTGAAGCAGTTTCCTGTGACATTTCAACCTCTAAAAGTGCCTGAGGAGAGTAGAGAGCATAGCTAGGTCATTACCAAGCTCCCAAAACTGCAACTCTTGATGAGTCTCTGAGATCACACTTAATCTCCTAAAGCCATGGTATGGGATGCTTAAATTGGTAATTTATAAAGAAAGGATGTTGGCTTGACTTCTTTTAACCCTCTCAGATCTTGGTACAAGAACACAGGAATTATTGTTGTTTAGATAAAACTTCATAGCCCCTTTCCTGTACTGAATAGCAAACTTACTGGTGGAATACTGGCAATATAACATTGATGTTGATGGAAATGGCATCTGGTGCCTTCACTGGTCTTGATTTGAGTTTATAGTTAGGGATAAATAATGAGGTAAGAGTATCCTTTTGTTATAATAACGTACAACCCTGGAAGAGAGAAGCGTAGGGAAACACTCCACCCATTGCTTCTGTGTGTGCTAACTCACATTCGTATACTCTGTCTGTCTCCCTATAGTCTTTTGCAAAAATGCTCTCCATTTTTAAGTAGAAAACCCAAAATTGAAAGGAAAAATTCATAATCCAGCCACCAAAAACAAATTATATGAAGTACAAAGGGAGGAAAGTCCTTCAAATCCCACCCCTAGGGACCTCATTAACAGTTGGTAACCTATCACTTTGCAGTTAAATAGCAAATATTGAGCACTTAGAGTGTGACACACAAAATTGCAAATAGTTATATACTGTTTGTATCACTGGTATGTTAAGGTGCTGTGCTACATTCCAGCTTTTTTCTCTGCTCTAAAGTTGCTTATATTTTATTTAGACAGAATGTAACCTGTCTAGATAGTCATTTAACAATCTGAAGGATAATTAATATAAAACCTATAAAAACAACCATATAATTTGATTGTCTAATGAGTGATTCAGACAATGGCTTCAAAAGAAGATTTGATCCCTGAGAGCTAATGGTTGACACCATTTCATGTTGGTGAGGCCATAGAATTGTACAAGCCATTCTAATCCCACTTCCACTAAATGGTTCTATGTTCCTAATTTCTATTTTCTATTCTACTTCTGTTTTTCTAATAAATGTAACTTTATTTTTTTTGAGCAGTTTTAGGTTTACAGAAAAAAATTGAGTGAAAAGTATAGAGTTCCCATATATTCCCTCATTCTTCTATTGCTGTTTTAATTTCTTTTCACAGTATCCTTTGTTATTAGTTCCAGCTCATCTTAATAGACTTATATTTAATGTTTTTATTTCAGTGTCTGAATTAGCATGTTATTGACAGCCTAAGTGGGGATTTATAGACCCACCTTCCAGATGGTATATATTCTCATGCAGCCGCTTGGGACATCTAGTGAAGAACCTGATTGAATTATGTACTCTGTTTATTGGTCAGTCCATTAGTGGGTGTGATGAAATCTCTGGTTCACATAGAAAGAGGGAACATTAAGTAGATTCCATTGTTCATAGTTTGTTTTTTGAACGCAGTTATCTCCTAAAATTAAAAATCTCCCTTCTGAGTTCTGTTAAGATTTGTTGCATAATGTTTTTTCCCCTCTTAATCTGCATTCAAACCAACAGCACTTTAATTTCTGATTCCTTTTAAGAACTAAAGAAAGGTGTAAACATTTCTGGGTCTATATTGTCAGTAAAAGGAGGGATTCTTGTCTAAAGCTTCAGAGATTCCTGGTGGGCCTGTGTCCCTGGCAGTGCTTTGACTTCATTGAGCAACATGAGATGTGGGGTGGTGGGGTATGGATGGGCAGATGGGGTAGGAGCAGTGATAGGACTCATCATGCTCATTCATTTAATTCATTCCCTGTTTAGTGACAGTAGCAGGGAGGGGAAATGGCAGGGTTGGCAAAGAGAGCCAGCGTGCATACCCTACCCTCGTCAGGAAAAAAGCCAGGCAACAATAACTGTGTCCAAAAATTAGAAATTTACTTGTGTTAAAACACTTGGTTAAAGATAGAAACATACATTTTTGGGAGAATTAAATGTCACCCACACTTTGATTTGAAGTAATCATTTGTATCATAAATTACTTCTAAGCACACTGGGTACTGTGTTGCTGGGCTTTGGGAAGGAGTGCTAGGGAGGAAAAGACAGACCCATAAGTGGGTAGCCAACAGTGTAAATATGTTCAAATTCAGACTTTTTTGTTTTAGCTGAGCCATCCTGCCACCTGTTGGCAGCTCACCGGCAGCTCAGCTCAGGCCAGGACTTGAACCGCTGTTGCTCAGAGCTCGCACTCTTGAGCGAGCTCTTAACCAACTGAGCCACTCGGCCGGCCCAAATTCAGACTTTTTTGTTGTAATGAATTTGAGGTTGGGGTATGGGGAGGTATAAGTTTGCAATACGGCCTAGGTTTTGGACAGAGGAAATTTAAATGCTAATCAGCAACCTTATACAGAAGGTCATTTGTTTGAATTGACCACAAGGTGGAGATTGGTAAGGAAAAGCCAGGGCGATGCCCAGGCTTACTAGATATTAGGTTT